AGCAAAACTTACATATATAGTTTTTTTAAAAATCCCTGTGAACTACAGCTAAATTTAATAATTTAACCTGACGGATCTTTTTTTTCCCTCTTCACTCCGAGATAGATCCAGCTCAGCTTCTTTGTTTCTCACTCTTTTTCACAGGCAATACAAATTTTGGAGCAGCCAGCATCTTCTCCTGGCTGATTAGAAATTCTGTCATGATAAAAAGAAGAAAGCAGAGTAGCTGTTGCTGCTGCTGCTACTTTCTCGCTTCAAACACAGCTTAAATTAGTCAGAAACAAAGCAACATTCTGCAGGCTTTGTTAATTGGAAAAGATACGACCAGAATTGCTTGGGAAAAGATACATCACCATTCATTTTCAAATACAAGTATGAAAAATAAAAGGTCAGGCAATGCAGGTCAGCAAAATTGGGGAAGCCGTAGCAGGATTCCACCCACCCACTCCCAATTTAGGTCGCTCAACCTTTTTGATTACCAAAATGAGAGCTTTGACATTTCAGTCATAAGTAGTGTTGGAAAAACACAAATTACTTTGACTGCTGGATGCCTTCACGGTTATTCAACATTCTAATATTCTTCCACAAAGCATAGATTGTCAAAGAAAAGTGGTGCCAGGAAAATCTCTATCAATTCCACCAGCTCAGATTTTGTAAAAAAACAAAAAAAACAGGCATCCAACCCCCTACCATGCGGATCTGTTCCTTTATGACATTGCCTTGGAGTAAAGAAAGAAGGAAAAAAAAATAGAAAAGCATCTGTAGTTTCCACAATGCTGCACATTGTAGTAAGCCCTGGTTCAATCCAAAACTGGACCAATTATATGGTGACTTAGGATAATGCAAAAACCTTGTCACTTATTCCATCACTCCTGTTCAATAATTTCTAATACCTCATTTCAAAAGTCCTTTGAAATGCCAAGGGAATTTCTTATATGGGTCAGTTTCTATCATGTATTCAAAGCAATTAATGCTTGTAACTAGATACAGCAACCAGCTGCTTTGTGCACAGAATTCGGAACATAGTTTTGGGTAACACAAAAGTTATCCCATCTGGAACAAGAAGAAACCCATGTTACATAGAGAACAAGGACAGGTGCCTACTCCAACAGGAAAAGTTTTAACTGAGTTTGATAAACTCTAGTAATAAATAAACCATCATTAGATCAGTGGTTAAGCTACAAGCTGCAGTGGTTAAGCTACAACTACCAGATCAGTGGTTAAGCTTCTTTAGTTTCCCGTATGGTGCAAAACCCTACTGGTTTTAAAACCAGCGGACAAAACCATGGTTTAAAAACCAATAAGGTTTTACATCAACACACTGTAGTTAGCCACTGATTTAAAGGGGGAAAAAACATCTACTTGAAGCCTTTCTGGATTTTAATGACTTGCCATGCACTTACTTGTCACCAGTTATCCAGATTTCAGGAGTTTTCTTTTCCCCAGCTTTTCGTGGACATCATGAAGATGAAACTAGGCCCTCTGGCATGAAAAGCCCCAACTTGATCTGTGCTTTTTCCTGCCTCTTTTAATGGTTCTGGCAACAATGCCAGCATTTTTATTTTCATACAGCGTCTCTTGTAGAAGACTTCTTCTCTGGCTGATATCCTAACCCTCTTACCATGTAATACCAAACGCTTTTAGCACTTTTCCTTGGCTAGCTACCCAGGAGTATCTAGAGATGCCTTTCCAATGCATTTGCTGCATTTTTCAAGACAGATTGTCACCACCTGTTTTAGTAAACAGAAACCCTCTTTACATTTTCACTTTCAGATTTAGTTGACTTTTTTACTTTCAGAATTTCTTTACAGATTTATTTTATATTTTACTTATTACACTTTTACTCTTTATTTTTACTTTCTGGGTGCAGAATTTGTAATTATGAATATTTATTTATTTATACCCATCCAACTGAGATTTATTCAATAAAGCCATACATAGCTTTAAACAACAGGTGAAGCTCTTGCTAAAAAGTTGCTTGACTCTAGAACAGAGGTGTCAAACTTGTGCCCCATGGGCTGGATGCATTACATGCTGTCCACGCCCACTCCCCATTTAGCAAAGGGGGAAAAGTGTTGTGATACGTCACGTGACAACACCGTGACAACGCGAGTTTGACACCCCTGCTCTAGAATATCATGATGTGTAACTATTATAGTTTGTAAATCACTATTATGGTTTTTTGACTTAACATGTGGGATTCTAGCCAACTCTGTCTTATTCAACAGGTGATGGTTAAGCAAATCAGATCTAACAGCTTTATGAATGTCATCGTTCACACTGTCCAAACACAGTTCAAAGGTCTACCCATTCTGAATCACAGATATTATTAAAAGTTTCAGACCCGGTTCATACCTCACAATAAGTCATAATTTGTTTGATCACAGACGACCCAATATCACAATTGGCTAGGTTCACACAATACACTGTCACAAGTCATTGATCCAAATCATAATGGCTGGGTTCATATAACATGCTAGGTCAAAATAATTAGTACAACTCATGAGTTCAGAACTATGAATCAGATTTCTCACACATTTTTAAAGACATAATGAACACATAGTAAGCAATCATACCTTAACCTGGCACCCTACGTAAACCAAGCCCATGCAGTTATTTAATGGCCCAGTGTTTGATTATGTTAACTGAGTAAACTGTAGCTCAACAAATGTGTCACAGAAACCTTGCTGTCTCAAAGTTCAATAATTATATAGATTACACACATCCTGGAAGTTCCGTAAGGTTCTTGTCAAGGCCTTTTAATTTTCCAAGTATTTAAACAGCATGTTGAAAACACCAATTTATTTTGAGGTGGTGAATCCCCATAAAGGAGAAAGAGGTTTCCAAACAAAGTCACATGCAGCCATGCAGCAGCGATCAAAAAACAGTCTAATACTTGTATGAGTAATGAAAGACTTTGATAACAATACATCATATATCACTACATGTTTTATTATCACTGTTACATCATAATATATAATATGATCCTCTAGAACAGGAACAGATAGGGGATCTGAGACATCAGGATGAAAGTAGACATAGGAAATACCTTTATCACTCAATCCACCTCCAAGAGTGGCCACCTATTTTATCATTTCAACATCTTACAAAGTAGGTTAGGACTGAGAAACCCGGGGGAAGGGGGGTGCAAAATCATCCAGAGAGTTTCATGATCAAGTATGGATTTGAACTTGGGAATTTCTCAATTCTAGTTCATTAAAGTATACTAACCACCCTGGCTCTTCTGCTTCATCAAACGCATGACATTACAGACATTAGCTCATTATTGTTTCCATTTAAAGAATAATTTCCTCTGTTGCATAGTTAATTGTTCCTCTTTTTTTTTTTGCCTAATTTTACAAGACAGCGTCTAGCTGGATAAAACTGCAAAACCAAGAGTGTTGCAAGTACAAACCAAAAGTAAATGCAATTTTGACAGCTTCCTTCAAGGCATTTTTTTTTCTTGCTGAATATGTGCTCAAGAGTCGATGCCTCCCTACTCCCAACAGTATTTGTGCTTTGACAAACTAGCATACCAAAGATTTTAAAAAGGAACTATTGTAACCCTACTGAGGACAAAATCCCCAGCTCAAAGTTTTTGAGAATTGATACATCTCTCCTCTTAAACTAAGTATACGGACTGACCTCTCAAGCCATTTAAAAAAAAACCTTTATCAATGTCAGTTGGAATCATAATGTTGCTTGCACATTCTACACAAATAAATGCCAATGGATATAATCTATAGTTTTCATATTGTATTACAAAGTTAAGTTCACAAAAAGGTATCAAGAATAATAACAAATTAACTCCTTCAATATTTTAAAGAAATGCTGAGATTCCTTAGAATACACACATGGATTTACAAAATACATAAAACCTTGTGCCAAATGCTATTAAGTTATGGCACTCAAAAGGGGAAGCAATCTGTGGACTAAACATCACATCAATCATTTATCCAGCATCATCTATTGAAAATGTGGATCTAATGAGAAAAAAAAATTAGTCTCTTATATACACCATGTTATAGGAAGACACAGTTAGTTAAGATCCTTAAATGTTTCTGAAGCAAAAGTGACTCAGGGCAACTGAGATGTGGATGTTGTCAATATGCAGTTTGTCTTAATCATTCAAGAAATAACAAGGAAAGCCCCAAATCTCAAACCTAGTGCATTTCCAGTGCACTACGAATATATTTCTATAAAGTGCAATTCTTTTGTGCGCTTTTATTTCAAATCAGTGCCAGCAAGATCAGTCACGCTTGTTTGGGAGTAAAGGTGTATATAGAATAGGATCCCTTCCCCTGACCAGATTTAAAAACTTAATAACCAACAAGGGGTGTCATGTTTTCCACCCGGAATCAACGTGGGAATGATTTTCCCGACTGTTCCAGGTTTTCCCGATCGCTTTTCCTCTTCCACCCCTGCTTGCAAATGAGATGCAGATCTTTTGCTGGGAACAAACCAGTAGTAGGAAGTGAATGGCCGCCTGGAAGGCAATAACTTTAAGCGGAGCCCGGATCTCACTGGATCGTAACACTTTTCAAAGCCTCCAGGGGCTTCACCGTCCCTTTTGAAGAAAGCCTGTGCCGGAGAAAGCCAGGCACTTATTTGCAAGCTGCCCGGTTCCTTTGCACATCCCTTCGCACGGGGACAGCGACTCTCTGGCGAAGCTCGCCCCTGGCCCCACTCCGCTTCAAACAATGGATCAGCTGCTGCAGAGACAGGGCGATTTCCTACGTACTATTCCGAGCCCCTTTCCTTTCCCCCCCCCCAAACCTTTGGGCTGAAAGCCCATCTAAAGATCGCGACGGGATGGAGACCCCACACCGCTCCCCGTCGCCGCTGCCTGCCGAATGCAGGGCAGAAGGGAAAAAAGAGAGAAGGGCCGAAGGAAACCCCCCGTTTTCCGCCTCCATTGGGTTGTCTGCGCCGCGCTGGACCGGGATGGGTAAGAGGAGGGGAGGGGAGGGAGGCAAAAAGCCCACTCGGTCCGCACTTACCAGCACGACGGCGAATCTCTCTTCCAGCTCGCCCGGTTCGGGCATCGGGAGCTTAAGGGGTAGATTGTGCGCCCTGAAGTCCGTCTGCTGAGAGTCCATGCTCCCCGCATTGCCCATGGCGACGGCCCTTCCTCGAGGAAGGGGAGCGGGGGAGATCGGTCCACCTCTCTGCCCGGGTTTCTCCTGCCGGATTTCAAGCTCCAAACCGTCGCCTCTCTTCCACCAAGCTCCGCGCGCTGCAGCCGAGTCGTTCCCTGGCTGCTCCGGTACTCCTTCCCCGCCCAGTCAGCCCGCGCTCGGCTCGGCTCTCCTCACGCTCCACGCGCCGATTCCCCCAGCGCCCCACGCGCGCAACCCCCCAAATTTTTTTTTTAAGAATTAAGAGCCGCGGGGAGGCGAGGCGCACAGATCTCTGTCTCCCTCTAGGACCGGCCTTGGAAATGCCCGCCCTCCGCCGCCGCCGCCTCCTCCTCCTCCTCCTCCCCAGCACAATCGGATTCCCTTTCTTCCAGCGCTCGTGCTGGAAACCCGGGAGCTTAGCGGCAGCATGTTGCATGCTTTTCACGCCAAGCAGCCCGGGCTGGATAACGCATGGCTGGGGCGGAGCGGTCCTCCTTAACAAGCCCGCCGGTGGTTTCTGGACGGTCGGTTGCAGCCAGAGCCGGGCTCGCCCGCTCCCCCTCCACCCCGCGCAGCGCCTACCAAGCGCAACCCGCAGAAGAGAACCGGCCGCCACACTCAACAGACACCGCGCACCGCAGCACAAAGCCCCCTCTCCTTCAGACACCTCCTCCGGAGCTTCTCCACGCCCCTGCCCCGGGGAGAGCTGGGAAGCGTAGTCCTCGTCTTTTTCCACGGGACCGCATCTGTCGACATACCTGCCTCTACCTTCTCCCTCCCCGCATAAATATAACGAAATGCTTTTGTTGTGTTTTTTTTAAATAGCAGACTCTCTACTTCTGCCATCTGCAAGCAGAAGTATGATTTGCGTTACACTGATGAGCTTTGGGATCTAGACATGTACAGAAGAGCAATATTTTCCACAAAAGATTGAGGTATCCTGTTTTGAGATGCTGACTGAAGACAGCAGAGCTTTATCCAAGGTTTGTGTCCCAAAAAGCCAGTCCCTGAATTCACCCAACAAACTAACCCCATCAGTCCTGGTTTACAAATAAACTATCTTTTAGTTTAGCATACTGGGTGAACCGGGTCATGGCATGTCACGAAAGGAGAGCCGATTTATTCTTTATATATCTGTTCGAATCCTGACAGCAGTTTACAAGATCATCAAATTACATTAAAACATCCATGGTACAAAATAATAAAAATAAATGATTGTAACCCTAATGCCTGAAAAAAGGTAGTGTTTGTAAGATTTTTGCTACATAGTTGTCAAAAAGCCTTGAATCAAGAATAGCAGGGGTACACTTGACTGCTTACCTCACTTTTCACTATTATTTCTCTCCCATCCCCACCACAGGAAATATTTTTCATGGTATAATACCTCCTCCTTTTCAACAGTTATTAAAAAAAGAAAATTCAAAGAGCAATTTCTAGCCAGAACATGAGAGACTTCTTCTAAAAAAAAATAAGGATGTATTGGTTATTCTAGGTTCACAGAAATAAACCTGCTTTGTCATCAAGTGGATATTAACCTGGAATCTGCACTAGATGATGTTGTGTTTTATATAAAGTGTACCCGTATTCTTACTTCTTAAGAGTACAGCTTATTAAGTAATATGTGAAATGGCAGCTGTGAATAGGATTGAGTTGAGCTTTCTTGCTGGAATTCACTGGAATAGCAGAGTGGTTTTCATAAAAACATAGGAAACTGATGGCAGGAAAAGACTCAGTGGTCCATCAAGTCTGCCTTTTGGGGTTTTTTGTTTTTGTTTTCTTTTTATTATTTATTTATTTATATTTTATTATTTCATTTAGTAATATTTGTGATCCCAATCAGTAAATCTCTTTTCTCTTCTTGCCTTTGCTGATCTGGTTGCTTGGCCTTGTTTATCAAAGAGTAGAACAAGAGAAAGGTCTCCTTGGAAGGCCTGCTATTCTTTGGAGTAAAACGGAGCCATCATTACGTTTACCTAACATTCATCATAACTGGATTTTGATGGCTGTTATGTAGCGACTTCGTTCCTTCCTTGTATATACATCCCTTTTGAGCTTGTGCCATTGACTCCATACAAAAAAGTGGAACTTGAATTATAACACTGTCCCCCATCTTACCAATTCTGATCTCCACTGAGGATGTCTGTAACATCTGCCACCAGATGAAAATCCTGACATACTTTGGTTGAGCCTTCCCAATCATTTCCCAATATATTGAGGATATATCACATTTTCTAATTTTACACGTAGTCCTAGAGTTACCACCATAATTGAGCCCTGCAAGTCGTAAGTTGTGATGGTGACTTGATCTGCTTTTACAACCTTTGTTGCTGAGATTGTTAAGTGAATGCTGTATTAATTAAGCGAACCCATTGTTTTTTGTTTTTTGTTTTTGCTGAAAACTAGAAATAAACACCGATTTTTGCAAAAAAATGTAGATCATGGTCATATGAGAGCTAAATGTGGGCTAATTGCCAAGCAGCTGATTGTCAAGCAGCCAAAATATGATCATATAAGCAGAGGGGCGACGTTAGAACTTCAAAACTAGGTTGTAATTAGCTTTTAGAGAAAGGATGAGTTCTTTCAGAACTCAGAATGGTCAAGAAGCAACCAGTCATAAGGAGGACTACCTGTACAACTTTTGAAAGTGCTGGTGTGAAACTACAGGAGTTGGAATACAGCAAAATTGAAAGATGTGGTTTGGGAAAGGCTGTCCTGGTTCATGCTTTGGGTTCAGATTCTGAAATTCATTCGTTTTTCTAAGTAGTCCAAGCAAAACCTGTGAACCATTACAGGTAGTCCTCAATTTACAACAGTTCACTTAGTAACCATTCAAAATTACAGTGGCATTGAAAAAAGTTACTTATGACCTCTTTTCACAGTCACGACCTTTGCAGCATCCCCATGATCATATAATCAAAATTCAGATGCTTGGCAACTGGTTCATATTTATGACTGTTGTTGTGTCCCAAGGTCATGTGACCACCTTTTGCAACCTTCTGACAAGCAAAGTCAATGAGGAAGCCGGATTCACTTAACAATTGGATTACTAATTTAACAACTGCAGTGATTCACTTAATAACTGAGGCAAGAAAGGTTGTAAAATGGGGTAAAACCAGGGGTGAAATGCTCCCGGTTCAGACCGGATCGCCTGATCCGGTAGCGATGGAGGTGGGTGGTTCGGAGAACCGGTAGCAAAAATCCCTGCCCCCCCCTCCCCATGCCCAGCTGAGCCACACAATCATCAAAGGCTTTTTTTTTTAATTTTTAAAAGCATTTTTTCTACAACCTCTTCGGCTGAAAAAATGCTTTTAAAAGTAAAAATAAAAGCCTCTGATGATCCCAGCTGAGTTGCCTGATCGGAAGAGACTTTTTTTCTTTTAAAAGCCTTTGATGATCCAAGCTGAGTTGCCTGATCCGCAGAGGCTTTTAAAAGAAAATAAGCCTCTGCCGATCAGGCAACTCAGCTGGGATCGTCAGAGCCTTTTGAAAGCATTTTTTTACAATCTCTTCGCCAAAGAAGTTGTAGAAAAAATGGTTTTAAAAGTTAAAAAAAAAAAAATGGCCACGCCCACCCAGTCATATTACCACCACCACCACCAAGCCACGCCCACAGAACTGGTAGTAATAAATTTTAGATTTCACCACTGGGTAAAACTCACTTAACAAATGTCTCACTTAATAACAGAAATTTGGGACTGAATTGTGGTCATAAGTTGAGGACTACCTGTAATCATAACAGAGAACCCCACACAGGCAAGAAAGATGAATGTTTCTTAATGTAAAGCAGCACAATACTTTGTCTTGAATAGAATTTGGAATAAAGTGGAAAGAAAGAACCAATGTTTCCACATCCAAATTTTGATCACATGATCATGGAGATGCTGCAAATGTCATAAGTGTGAAAACCAGTCATAATTTACTTTTTTCAATGCCATTGTAACTTTGGTCACTAAATTAATGGTTTAAATTGAGGACTACCTGTATGTATTTGTGCATGCATTTGTGATGCACATAAAAGGAGTGAGGCTTCATCTAAACCAGGGGTCTCCAAACTTGGCAACTTTAAGACTTGTGGACTTCAACTCCCAGAATTCCTCAGCCAACAAAGCTGGCTGAGGAATTCTGGGAGTTGAAGTCCAGAAGTCTTAAAGTTGCCAAGTTTGGAGACCCCTGATCTAAACAATCCTGGTCATCATGTTGACATGTTTGATTTCCCAAGACACCCCTTCATCCTTCCTTTCCCAAGCATTTTTATAATTTTACATTCGATTTTATCTCAAATTCCTGCTCTATGATAAAACAGTCAATTTTATCTATCTTATATTGTTTATCAATTTAACATTATTCTATTAACTACATTGTAATGTATTGCTGTTTTTCTGACATTTTTAGATTTTGCTTTGATGCCTCAAGTAACCGTGAAATCTGCTCAGAAAAATTCACTTACTGAGCATATTAGAAATGTAACTCATAAGAAATAAGATCAGTGCAAATATCCCCAAAATGAAATCATTAAACTATGTATTAGGGGTAAGACTTAGTGGACATTGCAAATATATGTCAGGGAATTATGCAGCAGCTGTCGGAGACACTAACACAAACTTGCAGTTTTTATTGCAGGGGTCTTCAAACTTGGCAGCTTTAAGACTTGTGGAGTTCAACTCCCAGAATTGAAGTCTGGGAGTTGAAGTCTGGAAGTTGAAGTCCACAAGTCTTAAAGCTGCCAAGTTTGAAGACCTCTGTTTTATTGTCATCATCCAGAAAGAGAAAACCCAAGATAGTCAGGAACACAAGACTATCATGAGTTAAATTAAAGAGTATCCAGAACACAGAGAAGAAAAAGGTGGGAAAAAAGGGAAACTCCCCCTTTGTACTTATCAACCAATCATAGTGCAGATTGCCTCATGCATGAGTCAGCACTCTCTAACTAATCAACTACTACTATGTGTTCTGGTCTATTGTACACTTTACTGTTCCAGCTACTAAATTCAATATCCTAACAACATAATATAATTTTCTGCTGGGATATAATTATAAGCATACCACAAGCAAGCAAGTTCCTTTGAATTCAAGGGAGCTTACTTCTACTTGTTGGGATTGGGATAAAAGAGATCTGTAACTTTTTAAATTTATTATAGATAACAGCTATAGGCAGACATCAGAAAAATCTCTTCAATACATATCATTAAATTTATCATCAAATAGCTGTCAGGAAAACCTCTTTGATATGTGTGCGTGTGTAGCAAAAAAAAAATAAAAAAGGTGAAAGTGATATATCTTCTTGAAACATTGCTATACCTTCTTGAAACCAAATTATATAAATACATTAAAGGAGGGACACATAAGGGACAGTGTGAATTTCTATGGGGATAAGCTATGTCCTTTATGATATATAGAGTGTTGATGCAGTCATGTCTTAACCATTTTAATTTCAAAGTGTTCATAAAGAAGAGTTACATTATAATACAACCCTTTATTTGTGCAGTTTATTTAGACAGTTTATTTAGACAATTTACAAACGCCTTATTTGGGCCACCTCCCAATTGATCCAATTCCTAAATAATGCCTAGCCTAAATACTTTAAATACCTTAAGATAAATTATAAGTGAAACTTTATGTTGCTTGTAAGT